ATGTGAACTCTAGCATTTAGAGGCTGCCATCATGGTGAAGAGATGATAGGGATTGAGTGAAATAGCATGCGCATCTTTCGCATCAAATTGTCCTGACCCCACTGGTCGAGAGTGAGTGATTAATTTTCATTTTCTATATGCTCTTGTACCCCGGTGAGGACCTAGATTGCTCGGTCTCTATTCTGATGTTTTGAGTTGGATGCATGAGTCGACTGTTTTGAGTAAGTGGTTGAATCAAGTCTAGGTTGGCTAGTGAACAGACGGGAGACTCTTCCTTTACTCGATTTGCTGCACTCGAATGTCCTTTGTGGTGGTTGTCCAGGTTGTTATTGAGGTTGTGCATGTATTGATGTTTGAAAACCAGTGCGATTCACGTGTTTTGTGCCTTTATGACTTGTCCCCAGTGTTGGTTGATTGATTTGTAAGCTTACCTAGTGTCTGACTTGGTTTGCTTGGGGACAAGCAAACGGTTAAGTGTGGGGGAGTTTGATAGACCGATAATCATACATGTTTTCACCCCTATTCGGAAGTCGTTTGTGATGAGGAATCTCGTATTTTAAGCCGATTTTACGCTAGGTTGTGTGTTTATGTCATATTTCAGGTCCTGGCGTTGGAATCGAGGCGAAGGAACGAGTTCTGGATCGAAAGGAGCGAAGATTGGACAAAGGATGCTGCTGGACCAAAATACCCGGTCAAAGGAAGAAATACCCGACCGGGTATATTCTGGCCTCGACCGGGTATTTCCTCCTTCGGGCACCCGTGAGAAGCAGAAGGGGGCCCGGGCGAAGGCCTTAAATCCCCGGTCGGGGATTTTGGTGGTAGACCGGGGATTTTTCCCTTAGTCAGATGGTGCGTTTCATAAAATACCCGGTCGAACCATAAAATACCCGACCGGGTATTTTGACCGGGTATCGCGACAGACAGCTGATAAAAGAGGAAGAAGGCCAATTTTCAAAGGGTTCCGAGTTTTTGAGAGAGAAACCGATACCTAGAGAGAGAAAGCGTCGAACCAGAGTTCTCAAGCGCCATAGATCGATCTTCAACACCATTGGAGCCCGTCTTGAGCTTGGAGAAGTGCGATTAAACGTCCAGAAGCAGGAATCCAACTTCACAGTATGATTTCCGTGTCTGAATCTGCTTTTGCTTCTTTCTCTATGGAGTAGTTTCCCCATTCATCTGGGTATGGAGAACCCTAGTTCTGTATGTTAGGTTTGATTGTATGAACCCAAGTATTGATTCTGTGATTGATTATATTCGATTGAGGTTTTATGATTGAATGACTTGAATCCTGATCAAATTCCTGTTGTTTCTGCTTTAACCTAGAATGAGAATATCTGCCTAGGTTAATAGAGTATCCTTGATTGAAGGTAGGGAGTTGGTGACTTTAGTCGAGGAGCCAACTCACTATTCTGTACCGGATTTACTCCGGTAGTGGAGGTTTTGTTCTTAGGGCCTCAATCTGTCGACTCCGGTGGAGGTTAGTCGCCCGCTAGAGAGTCAGATTGAGAGGGTCTGAAGACCTTTAGTCGAGACTTCAGGCTGTTTAAGAACCTTCCGCAGTATAACTATCATAGAAATTGAACTTGGTAATTACAATCCGACTTAACTGCAGTCTAGGGGGAAACCATATCCGGGTGACCTCTCTTGACTTGACAACAAACCGTTTACTTGCTTTGTGTTTTGTTTGCTTGAGTTTCACTAAAAGTTCACCGCTAAATAACAAGAATTCACTGAGTAGTCATCACATCTAGGACCCGGGTTGACATTAAAACCCAAACCCGCTATACTACGCTTTAGGAAGTGGTTACACTTGGCCAATTCCTAGGGTGACAGTAGAGTCGAGTCAGTTGCTAAGGGTTATACCCAGATATATGGAATTGATTTTCTTGACACATATTCCCCAGTTGCAAAGATAAATTCAGTCAAAACTCTGTTAGCAGTTGCTGCTGCTAAGGATTGGCACATCCATCAGATGGATGTGTCCAATGCCTTTCTTCATGGAGACTTGGAGGAGGAAGTGTATTTGGATATACCACCTGGTGTTGATGTTCCTAAAGACTCAGGTCTTGTTTTCAAACTTAAAAAGTCACTGTATGGCTTGAAACAGGCAAGCAGACAGTGGTTTGCAAAGCTCACCAGTGCATTGTTAAAGAATGGCTATTCACAAACAGCTTCTGATTATTCAATGTTTCTGAGATGGATTCAGGGAAGAGTTGTGGTGGTTCTTGTCTATGTTGATGACATTCTGATTGCTGGGAGTTATCTGGGAGACATAGAACAGTTGAAGAAGTTTCTGAGTAAAGAATTCAAGGTTAAAGACCTCGGTCAGTTGAGTTATTTCCTAGGGCTGGAAGTAATGAGAGATCACAAGGGGATTTCAGTCAGTCAAAGGAAATATTGTTTGGAATTGCTTGATGATACTGGCTTTGTAGAGGCAAAAGGTTGTTTATCACTTGTTGATTGCAATGTGAAGCTTTCCGCAGACCAAGGAGAGTTGATGGCAGATCCTGGAGCCTACAGAAGGCTGATAGGGAGACTACATTACTTAACAATTACAAGGCCTGATGTGGCCTATGCAGTTCAACAACTAGCTCAATTCCAAGCTGCCCCTTGTGTTGAGCATTTACAAGCAGCACACAGAGTCATTAGGTACTTAAAACAAACTCTTGGTCAGGGTTTGATCTTCAGGGCAGATTCAAAGTTGGAACTTTCTGGCTACTGTGATGCAGACTGGGCAAGCTGTCCAGATTCAAGGAGATCTCTTACTGGCTATTGCACCTTTCTTGGCACGTCATTGATCACCTGGAAGACTAAGAAACAAACTACAGTCTCCAGGTCTTCTTCTGAAGCTGGATATAGAGCTTTAGCTCAAGTTGTGTGTGAAGTGCAGTGGCTGAGGAATCTTTTGACTGAAATGGGAGTTAAGGTACCTGTACCAATTTCTCTCTTTTGTGACAACAAATCTGCTATGCATATTGCTGAAAATCCTGTGTTTCATGAAAGAACGAAACACATTGAAATAGACTGCCATGTTACTAGAGAAAGGCTAAAGTCTGGTTTGATCAAGCTGTTCCATGTGAGGACTGATGACCAAGTTGCGGATTTGTTTACCAAGGGCATGACTCGTTATCGTTTGAAGTACCTGTTGGACAAGCTGGGAGTGTGTAATCCTTACTCGCCAGCTTGTGGGGGAGTATCAACTGAGTTGGAAGAAGTTGAAGCTCTGCAGAAATGAAGATTGGACTGCAGGCTCGAATGAAGAAGAAAACTCACCCAGAAACGAAACGTTTCTGGGTTCCCTCCACTCAGCGTTTAAATGAAGAAGCAAAGCGACGACGTACTGGCAATGCGACGGCGTAGTGAAGCTTTGGAGTTTTACCGTTGGAGTGGACTTACCGTGGCAAACGAGAGATGGACACGTGTTGTTTTACCATTTATCATTTTCATATTTCTGTTTTGTAATTTCCGTTTTTACTGTTTCGTGAAGAACACATTTCCAGTTTCAGTATAAATAGAAATCGCAGGAGATCCGCTGCTCCTCGCGCGTTCCCCATCTTGTGCCGCATTCTTCTTCTTCCTCTAACCCTAGCTCAGCTAGTTTTGATAGCCTGCAATTCCTGGTTTTGATTTCGCAGAGAAGAGGATATTGATTTCGTGAGAAGGGAGAAGTTCGTCAGAAAGAAGAAATGGGATTTTCCGAGAAAATCTGGCGTTGCAAGTCTCCCGCCAGCGTGCCGTTCAGCGGGTTCAGGGAGGTGAGAGAAAGAAATCGAACGTTGTTCGTCGGCGTTTGTTTAGTGGCGATGAGCGGACTGAAGGGAAATCCTAGCCCAGCCTAGGAGAGGCTTCTTTTTATTTCTATTTGTTCCATGTGTGAAAGGGGTATTGATGGAGGGAGAAGCAGAGGGTACAGTACACGAATTGGTGGACTGGGGAGGAAGTGACATTGAAGCCTCCGGTCATTGAGCGGACAGAATTTAAGCACGCGCGGCTAATTACTTGGTTCGCCGCACGCGGGACTATGGGGGTTAACATGGGTCTGCCGTAGGGGAAAAATCACAGGGTGAACAGTATTCTAGAAATCAGTGATTAGCGCTTTTTTCGTAAGGAACAATTTTTTCTTTTTTCGTTACTTACGCCTTAATAATGCTAATAATTTGTCTTTAATGAACAGTCATTTTTCGTAAGGAACAAAAAAATTTTCGTTACTTACGCCTTAATAATGCTAATAATGTGTCTTTAATGAACAATAATTTTCTTACTTGTTCTTTTAAAGATATAATAATAATAATAATATCGACCATTTTCCGTGAATTGGGTTTTTAGAAGAAGAAGATTCTTGTACTAATATTGGTATTGAGCAGCGAGCTGGGCGGTTCAAGAAGCTGCTTTTGTTCTCTAGAAATGATTATTTGGGCTTGAGTTCACATCCCACTATCGGAAAAGCTGCTGCCAAGGCTTGTTTGACGTTTGTCTCTGTCATATCTCAAATATTGTGGCTGCTTCCGTTACTAAGAGTGCACTGAACTCTATTGCTAAAATCAGGCAGCTCAGGATGATGGAATGGGGGCTAGAGGTTCTGCTTTGATCTATAGGTACACTAATTACCATAGACGGCTTGAATCTTGCTTGGCAGAGTTGAAGAAAAAAGAGGTAAATTAGCTTGTGTCCCTAATCTCACTGCATTGTTAACTAGGACTCCTTATGATCTTGTACTCCAACCTTACGGTTGAAATCCTTGTAATTCAGCTTCTTAGTTACGAACACACTTAGTGCTGTGTAATATTATCCAACACCTTCGGATTAGCCTGATTCGACTTGACATGTACATCCCTTTGTTATTTTTTGCCTCGTAAACTGAAACCTGATACTTGATATTGCATTATCTGCTGCTGCAGGACTGCCTTCTTTGTCCTTCAGGCTTTTCAGCCAATATGGCTGTAATGGTATCTGTTGGAAGCAATGTCTCTCTTTTGGCCACATTTCAGTAGAAACCTCTAATGGAGGAAAAGGTTGCTGTGTTTTCTGATGCTCTGAATCATGATTCGATAATTGATGATATTCGTCTTGCTGAGAGACAACTGACAATTGAGGTCTATGTGTATAGGCACTGTGACATGTCCCACCTTAGAACATTACTGTAATTACTTAGCTTTTGCTTGACCCTTACTCGTACACTTTTTGCTAGTTTTCTGATTTTATGGCACTCATGTCAATTGTTCTATGATTTTGTTTCACAGCTCAAGCTGCTCGTTGAAGAAGAAGGTTATTGTGACTTATAGGTTAGTCAACTTCTCAGTGCTACATTTACTAATGCTTTCTTGTTGCTCCAATTGTTGAGTAGTAAGACATATCTTTTTGTTCACTTTTTTTTAAGACATTTTTTTTGTTCACTTTGGTGGTTTCTTATTAGCATTGTGAATATCAATTTTTTTTATTTTTTTATTTTAAAGCACTTATGTGCAAGGTTGTCAACCCGCGGGTTGACCCACGGGTCGACCCAATTTGACCCTGACTCGGTGAGAAAAACGGGCCGTATGCACCCGCCGGGCCGACCGCTATAAGGTACCGGGTTGGAGGTCAAATTGTGTCATTTTTTTCTTTAGTTTGCGAAATGCGCCTATTTTCCAATTTTTCTTTTCGCCTAACTTAATCTTTCGAATACTAAGGTGAACATTTGAATATTTATGTTATATAAGTGTGTGTGAATTTTCACTATATGTTGGATCTAAGTACAATATGTTATTTTGGTGTAATTATATATGTTATAACTCATATTTTAGATAAGATTTGATATAATTTATGAGAATAAGTACAATATAATGACTCTTTCTATATTTCCGGGCCAAACCGGGCTAAAACGGTTGACCCATTAACCCTTGACCCACTAGCTTAACCGGGTCTGGGTCAACCCGCGGGTTGACAACCTTGCTTATGTGTGGCAGATGTTAGGGTTTTTTGCATGCGGTGAGTTACTAAATAGATGTTTTTTGGGGGTTATATTGTTTGTTTAGTATGGATGGAGACTTTGCCCCAATGGCTGAACTTGTGAATCTTGGGAAGAAACATGGCTTTTTGTTGACCATCGATGATGTAATTATTTCCCTAAAGGCTAGGTGTATGTGGTTAGAGGAAAATGTTTGACAGCCAAAGATCAACTAGCCTTCCATGGTACAGAACTTGCTAGAACTGTATATTGTGGATAAATAAGACTAGTAATTTTGGCAAATGGCAATAACTATTTTCAGGCTCATGGAACATTTGTTTGTGGCAAGGATGGTGGTGGAGTTGCTCAGGAGATCAATTGTGAAAGAGATTTCGATATATGTGTTGGCACACTGAGCAAAGCTGCTGGTTGCCATGGGGGAGTCATAGCATGCAGGTACTACAAATTAAACTCAATTCATGAGTGCTCTTATTTTATCTCAGGGCCATACAAAATGTCCCTTGTATATAAGTAAAAGTTGGAGTTGTGTGACAACCATTTGACAGTAAAAGGTGGAAGCAACTCATACAATCAAGAGGCCGCTCATTTGACAGTATTCTCAACTGCTATATATACCAGTTCCTTCCTGTTGCAGCTGCTGCATGCGCATGGTAAATTAAACTTCTGTAGCTTTTTATTTCATTTGTGTTCAGTTTTACCTTATTCCTGGAAAGCTTTCCGATGTTAACAATTTCTGCATAAACCACCAGCTGCTGTAATTGTGGCGGAAAAGGAAGCATGGCGAATGAAGGGAATTTGGAAGAGGGTTCAGGACTTTCCGGTTCTTACTGGGATCCTTATCATCAGCCAGCCCTATTATTTCCTTCATTGTAGGCAGTGAAGAGAAAGACCTTGGAGCTAGCCAGTGTCTTCCTCCTTCTGCCCCTCCTCTCTGTGTGCTTGGATGTGCATGGGTAATTATGAGTAGCTGCAATGCAACAGCTTGTAACTGTGCTAGTTGCTGTGAATCAGGTACATGTTGGAATCTGGATTTCACGTCACTGTCATCCGGCCCCCTACTGTGCCTTCCAACTCATGCAGGTTTCATCTCTTCTTCTAACTCTTTAAGATATCTGTTATCAGATATAGTGGACAGTAACTTTGGACATGAATTATCGAAATCCGAATACTACTATGAATATGTTTTTGTTGGTGGGATTGGATGTATAAGTTAAGCGAAGCCATTCCAAAAGGCCATGTGCAGTTTTAACGTTAGATTGAGCAGGTTGAACAGAGTTCCTCGAAGGGGATAACTTGTGCTAATTCTGAGATTGTTTCTTATTTATCAGGTTAAGAGTGACTCTTAGCGCAACACACACAGTGGGCGATTTGAAGAAATTAATGGCTGCACACTCAGAGCATCCACAACAACTTGAAGTGAATGGGTATGCCAGACTGTAGGTTAGTACTATATAGGGAGAGAAACAAGATTAGCAGTAGGGAACCCAACCGGTAGTTTTTTAGAGATAGTAGCTCCTCTATTAATACCAAAATGGAACGTCTTCCTTTCCGTATTGTTTAACGGATCATATACTAAGGAATGTCTCTTTTATAAACTGGTCCTTCATTTTGAGGATTCGGAACCAGTGCTCAATGCTTTCCAGTGCAGCTGAAACATAATGCGATTTCGGTTTACCAATTTAATTGATTAGAGAAGAACAGATTGTAGAATGAAAACCCACTTAACACAGAAATGAATGGTTCGTAATCACAGCTTATATAATTATTAGCTCTAATGGTAAAGTTTTGGCCTGCTTATACTCGGATCAGAAAAACTCTTCGCCTTACCTAAGAAACTCAACTCTGCACAAGTGGGACCCCCTCTCCCTTGTGTTCTAATATATGTGTATAACTAATTAACTATCATAAAAATTCTAACTTAGCCTCGCTTGCATTCCTTATCTGATGCCGGATTACCACCACCAATAGCCAGCCATGTCTGTACTCCCAGCGGAAGGCATGATGAAGCTGCCATCTGCCATTTCAACACACATAGCAGTAAGATGGAAGAAAATTTGAAGTCTATGTTGGTGTCAAAAAGTCACATTAACACCAACTTCATCCCAACTACTTACATTTCCAGCACTGAAACTCTGCTGATGGTTTCTTCTCTGATAGGTGACTGGACCAGGGGAAACTTGAATCAGATTCTTGTTTTGGGTTAGGGGAACTTCGTTGAGGTTGATCAAAGGAGTTCTAGGAGTAGTGCTGCTGTTTCTCCCCTGCCGGCAGAGGATAGAAGGAACTGCAGAGGAAGAAGTTGGTGTGGTTAGAGTTACTGCGACGAAGCCTCTTCTTCTTTCTGCTACTGGCCTCGTCACTGGGGAAGGAGAATGCTGTGAGTCTGCAGGGGCGAGTGTGGTTATGGAGGAGGACAAGGAAGAGACAGAAGAAGGAGTTCTAGCAAGTAAGCCATTGAGTTGGACTGGAGGAGAGGAGGCTGCAGCCATGTCCGGCCACAGGAAAGTTACCCGGGGCTTGCATATCCTGAACCCACTTGATCTCAGCCTTTTTATTTTGGCTGCTCGGTCTTCCATTGGAGTCAGTGTAGTTGAGTTTTGACTATGGTTTCCTTCCTCCCAACGTTGTTCCTCTGATTGTGTGATTATGAGCTGTGTTGTTCCTTCTTCTAGCTGCTGCTGTTGTTCCAGTTCTTTCTCTTCTGCTCTCTTTCTTGTGGCCATTTGTTAGAAACCTATTTCTAGGGTTCTAACGATCGAGTTGATGAGATTGGAAATTGATAGGTATTTAGAGGATTGAGATAGAATTGGAGAAGAACAGAATTGGGAATTAGGGATTTAGAAGAGGAAATTGGGGATCGAGGAGAAGAATGGCCGTCGGCCTAGGGATAGGTGACGAAATTGAGAGAGATTAGGGTTTGAAATACTTTTCTGAATAATTGTTCTTGCTTGATTTTGAATAAAACGCAAAGTACATATTTATAACAAAAGATAAGAAAACCTAATACTAAACCTAATTCTACTAAAAGACTAATAACCATATTTAATAAAACCTAATAATAATGATAATATAGAAACTCATTGTTCGGCCCATCTTTGTTGGTCTCCTTTTAGCACACACTCATGCCCTTTCTTAGCTCAATTATTTTGTAGCTGCGGCCCAATCTGCAAATCCCTTTGGCCTAAAACAAGCCCATCCACTCGGCCCAACTGAAAGGGCTGCTCCTGTTCTGCTCCTTGGCCCAAAGAAGGCAAACTAGGGTTTGCAAGAAGAGAGGTGGCTCCCTCCTCTGCGTCACCCGCCGCCAGCCGCGTCCTCCCTGTCTCCGCCCCCTGCACTCCCTCTCCCGGCGGTGCCGCCATATGTTTGGCCTGCTCGTCGGTCAGGAACGGGGGACCACCGCCCTCTTCCTCCGTCTCTCTCTTTTCTTCCGCCGGACAAAACTCCTTCTCCGGCGGTGCGTGGGAAAGCTCCCCGCCGTCTTCTATTTGCGCGGTCCGCGACCCTTCGGACAGCCCACGACATCCGATTGCGGCGGGCACCACGGGGCGCCGCTCGGCCCTCTCCTCTCCCGTGCGCGGCGCGGCCTCGACAACCGCGGGGCGCTGCTGCTCGGCCCGACCTCCTCCAGCGCGCGGCGCGGTCTCAGCCGACGAAGGTGGGCGCGCGATTGGGGCGGGGCCAGACAGCTCGACCGCCGGCTCTTCGGGCAGCCAACGGCGGCCGATGCGACGGGCTCTGTCCCGCAATTCTGCCCACGACAGGTTCGAGAGCTTTGAAGAGCTCATCGTCGAACCAGTTGTAGAAATCGTCCCCGGTTGAGAGTTGTGGTGAACTCAATTCTCGAAACCGGGCTCTGATACCAAATGTTAGAAATAGGTTTCTAACACCATTGCTTCCTAATATGACACAATAAGTAGACATTACTAGTAACCCAATTGAATGTGATTGAGAGCTTGAGCTTCTATTCAATACAATACCTCCATGACATGTAAGGACTCAGAAATTTCTGTCAGTTGTTCCTCAATTTTAGCCTTCTTATTGGACAGATCAATGAACAGCTCCTGAGGTAACACATTAATTGGATTAAAGGATTGACAATTAGAAGTCAGAAGAGTCAAGGAACTCTCAGACATATATGCACCTTGAGCGGAATAAGTAAGTTCTCCTGTTCCCTGCTTAAAGTGGTAACTGAAGAAATTGGCGTGGCTACAATGGCTAGTTCTTCCTCCTGTTTCTTGGAAGCCAGTTCTTCCATGTCCCTGATTTCCAAATCATCATCAGTAGAGGAGCAGCAAAAGAGAACAGAAGGTTAATAGGAATGTAAAGAGCAAATATAGCAAAGGAAGGGGCAGGATAACCTTTTCAGTTTCTCAACTTGCTCAGTTAGTTTCTTGATCTGGATGGCGAATACAGGGTCCTGAGAGGGGTTATCACCAGGCTTCCAACCAGGTGGTGGAATCCAGTATGGATCTTGCACTCCAGCCTCCCTCCTTAAGTCTAGCAGATTGGCCTCCTGAACCTTTCTTCACCGCCTGGCTCCACCTTCCCTGCCATATGCTTCAGCAGATGATCCAACAGACCAGTATCTCCAATCAGCCTCCTAGCTTTTGCTCTCAATACTGGCCTTAACATTCGGTTGCCAAACCCTGCCTTCTCCTCTTTCATTATCTTCAACATGTTCACCTCAGCTAGTTGATACCTTCACAAACATAATAATCATTCCTTAATTACATGGAGGTCAAGCCATTAAGTAGTTTAGGAAGCATGAGGTTGACTACAGCTTTTACCTTTCAGCAGACCATCTGTCAATTGTATTTTTCACCACCTTCTTCTTCGTCTTCTTCTTATTATTGATCTTCTGCCTATAAACAACAATCTGACTCTTATTCTTTCCCTGTTTTGCCCGCTTCCTCAGCTGGATTGTAGAAGACGGTAACTGATTCTTCTTTCTTTTGAGATTCTCCCTGCATTCTCTCGACTTAGCCTTCACAATGACCTGCTCTATTTCTTCTTCTTCTTCCTCACATTCCTCTTTACTAATCGCCGGATCACTCTGTTCTTCTTCCTCCTCACTTCCGTCTTCCTTATCATCTCCCCCTATCGAATCAGATGGTTCTTCCTTATCCTCCACATGCCTGCCCATGAACCTAACTTTCCGGCGTTGACCCCAGTTGACTATCCCGGTAGTCTTGAGCTCCGACAAGAGTAAAGCCTTACCACCATCGTATTTTGTAGATGGGGAACCATTTAGGCGGAGATTCGAGAAGTTCTGGGATGCAACAGAAGGAACTGCCCAGAAATTCCAGTCCCATTTTTTCTTCGCTACCTCGTCAGGTAGAATTCGTCGATAAAGAGCCTCCCCTGCAACTTCCGCTCCGATTATACATTTCTCGTCCAGCATGGGAATGTGCTTTACTTCTGGCCCAGAACACCCAGACCCGTCGTTCAAGTACGCTCGGATAGAGTAAATGCTTGGGTACCTCAGCGAAACCCTCATCCTCGTTTTCTCATTCACCTGAAAAATCAGACAAACCTAGAAGGGGGAATGAGAAAGAAACTGAAGCAGAAAAGTCTAGCAAACAGAGTAAAGAGGAGGGAAAGGAAAACGGAGAAGAAGAAGAAGAAAGAGCTGGAACAGAGCAAAGAGGAGGGAAAGAAAAACGGAGAAGAAAAAGAAGATGAAGGAGCTGGGTCCAAAAGAATTACCATGACAACTCGAACACTCTTGAGTTGATCAGGCGATCTGTTGGGGAGCATGGAGTGATCGATTTCGTATAAACAGTTCACTTTAATATGCTCCGCTGGATCTGGAAGCGTGAAAGACGGTGGGGACGAACTCAGAGTTTGACCCAGAGGAGAAAGACGGGACGACATACCAACAATACTCGTGAATTGGAAGAGAAGAGAAGGGTAGATCAAAGGACGACGAAGCAGGGTGAAAAGAAGGGGCCGAGATATATGGGGTGAGTGAGAGAGGGAGAGAGAAGATTTGCAGGCTGCTGCTAAATGTGGAATGGGTTACCTAGCGCACGGGTCGGGGTATAACATAGCACGGGGGCCAAAGGCAAACCGAATTCCGGTGCTTCTAAAACAGGTCTTCTGGCGGCGGCGTAGTAGCACTCCTCTGATGCCATTGGTGGTTCGTGGCCCTTTGAGTACATCATTTCCTGCATGTAGAAAAAGATTCCAATTCTTCGTGTATCAGAAGAAGAAAAAACATCACAACCATTCCGTTTCATTTCACTATCCTCATTTGGGCATTGCTATTCCGGTCCATCATCATTAACTACTCTGCCATCCCATCTTGTATTTCTTTTTTGTATTCCTTTTGTTGTTGGTTCGGAGGGGACATCCCCACGGAACACTGGGGAATTATGCAATTAATGCGGGGCGCCGCACTCGCGCAGCGTCGCGCGCGTGAATGAGACAATGGCGGGAAGGGAAAAAAGAAGTCTGTGTGGTGTGTGGGTCCCCCGGAGCTTTGCTAGCTCCGGAGCGCATGATGTGAGTGGGATAACTGGCGAGGAGGGCTCAATTCTAGAAGGCAATTAGCATAACACTATAATAGAAAAAGCGAATCGAATTTTCTCCCTCGGGAAAGGGCGTATGTTTTGCAGAGAGAGAGAGAGAGTAGCAGAGCTTACAGTGAGACTCCTCGCGGCAGCATCGTGAAGAAGCTCCATTGTCAAAAAAAAATCCCTGTAAAGAAAGCTCACTGTGAAAATTCAGAAGAAGTAAAAAAAAAAAAAACAAATGTAACTAACACATAGAATAGTGGACGTCGGAAAATCGATCATCAACCAACCGCCATATTTAGTTCAGACGGTGGAATAGTAGTGAAATCGCAAACTGTTTCTGAAGCCAACTCCGATGAGCATATATTGAATTCATGAACCAAATTAGTTTGGCTAACTCTGGAATGAAAATCCAGTCCGTCGGCGGACTCAAATCAAATGCAAATGCAGAAACGTTTAACCCTACTGTTCGATTCGAGTATTGTGCTGAACGGAAAAAGAAGGCAGAAAGTGGTAGAGACGGAGAAGAAAAGGGACGATAGATTGATTCTTTAACTGGGGTGATCAATCCTCTCAAACAGATACATAGGACGGAGATTTCAATTTTCAAACGTACTTCTTCGTTTTCTTTCAGTTTTGATGAACCGAAGAACAATCAACAGAAACACTGAACTATTCCGAGAGGAGAGGAGCAGAGGAAAAGAAGAACGAAGAGGAATACCTTCTCGCGGTGTGTAGCGACTAGGTAGCACCGAATCAGAATGGAAACGAGGCGTTGAACTTCTGGAATCGCCGAGCAGGAATCGACGATGGAAATGGAAGATCGACGGGACTTTGATATGGCGATGAATTCCGGATTAACTACAGAAAAAGAAAAAAAGAACAGAGCAATTGATCAGGTGAAAGAGGAAGAAGAACAAGAAGGATAAAAGGCAGAGGCAGGGAATGAACGGGACCTGTTCGTTCCCAGTAGAGAATTAATGGCTGCTTCAGCGGAGAGAAGTGTTTGGATTGGAGAGCAAGGAAACGAAATGGGAAGAAAAGAATTAGGGAGAGAGAAGAGAGAAGCAAGCAAAGCAACAATGGTGGGAGTGATAGTGAGAGTGAGAGAGGCGATTCGTGGGATTTTGAAGAGAGAGAGTGGTAATGATGGAAATTCCCCGCTGAACATCACGTGAGCTTGCTTTTTTCCCCTTCCTCTGTCACACAGAAAATGAACGACCATCCCTTACATGTTAATTACACATTCCTGCCATTCTCCAAATCCCCCAGTCGGTTCAATTTCAATTTCCAAGAAGACTGGAAGAGTGCCTCGTTTTTAAGGCCACACAGAATTAACGACGAGCCAATGGAATTTCATGGGACTGTATGTAATTTTAGGGCTGGGAAAATAGACCAGACCGTTAGAAAAATCGTGGTCCAAATTGTACCGCACAGTTTGGTCCGGACCGTAGACTGTTGAGTATGGTCTGGTCTGGTTAGAGGTGGTAATTAGGATCCAAATCCATGAATCCAATCCAATCCATCCACCAAATTATCCACCTAATCCAATCCATTTAAATCCAATCCATTTGATCCAAATCCAATTGGATTGGTGGATTCATGGATCAATCCATGGATCCAAATGGCAAATTACGATTTGGTACCTATATTTTTTATATTTTACATTTTGGTACCTAAAATTTATATTTTTATACGAAAAATATCATTGGAAAATTACGTTTTGGTACCTAAAATTTTTCATTATGACATTTTAGTACCTAAACTTTTCAAAATTTACATTTTGGTCCAAGAATCCACGAATCCGATCCAATTGCCACCTCTAGGTCTGGTCCATGTTCTGTACTATTTTATGTTTTGATATCTTGGTCTGGTCTGGTCTAGACCGCGGTTTACCGGACCAAACCGTGAACCCAACTGACTTGTAAATACGTGTTAACAGCCCATTCGACCACTCTCCCAACTCCCACAATGACACTCAAGTCTCAACCTTAGTTTTGTGAATCTCGTCCCTCCTTAATTCATAACCACATTTAACTAGAGAGTAGAGATAATCGTGTCTCTATATGACATTATGTTAATGTTTATGACGTTATGGTGCAAGTTGAGATGCTTTTACTTTGTATCTTTGGTATGTACTAAGATTTAGAGTATCAAAATTATTCATGCATGTTAGGATTGATGATTTCAGGCAAATAACAATTATTTTTTCTGGTTATTGGTTCAATTTTGTGTGTGGTTGACTAAACAAATTATTCATTTTTCGTTGAGTGTGGTCTATGTGGACCAGACCAGACCGAACCAGACCGCACAGACGTGGTCTGGACCGAACCGTATAGTCTGTGGTCTGGTCTGTGGTCTATACTTTAGCCTCTCGGTCTGGACCGTAGACCGTATAGATGGTCTGGTCTGGACCAGACCGCACCGTTTCCCAGCCCTATGTAATTTAGAAGTATGTAATTTAGAAGTGAACCAACCCGCTGCAACTCCACCGATCAATCACTTTGCCCAAACGGACCCCTGCCCTTACCATACGGGCCACTAAGGGCCGGACTGCAAGAGGTATTGGGCTTCAACCGACCCAAAATATCATATTACCATTCGTGACGTGTAGACCCAAAATTCATTTCTGGTTATGTTACTTGTGGATTTGGTTTGATGCCTATTTGTCTCCCTTTTTTTTCCGAGTATGATCAAGAAGATAGTTAGAAAGAGCACTACCCACATTTCCTTCCTACCTGTTAACAAGTCAATTTACAAAGTCAAAAGAAGCTAACTCTAACCGAGATACGGAGGACCCCACGCGACAGATTAGAGAGACGTTTGCTTTGGCGCGGTAGAAGACCCTCTTCTTTCGAAACTTTCATGTATTTGTGCCAAAACACCCGCACCCAAAGCTCATCTGGATTTTTTATCAATCGCCATGCAATTTTCAGCATTTATGCCTCGTTGGATCGACTAGTTGTCCTCAACCCAAGTCCTCCTTCTTCTTTGGCCAGCAAAATGTTTCCCAATCGATCAAATGGACCTTCAGTCCGCCTTTCGTGCTCCCCAAATAAATGTCTGGATCTTTTGTCTATGTAATTCCGAACACTAGTTGGGAGGAAAGAAGTTTGCATCGTGTAGAATGGGAGAGACGATAGCACTTTATGCGCTAGAGTGACTCTCTCCCAAAAAATTTCATCCCCCATCACATTTTCTTTCCAAATTTCATAAACAAAGGCTGAAAGAAGAGTATGTAAAGTAAAGTTTGGAGTCAAGCTTCTCTTGTTTCTATTAAAAGCCACATGTACTTTCTGATAATTGTAAACGATTTCAGTATACATGCATGAATATTTTTTTTTATAAAAAATTAATGTGAAGTTTGAGATATTACTCTTTTCTTTTCAGGGTATGTTACTACTAAACATAACTATAGCATCAAAATAAATAGAACCGATGATAGTTAAGAGTTCCTTATGAAAAAAATTTATCAAGAAAAGGCATCATCCATCAAACTACTTGTGTTCATACTTCTTAGCATAATGGATTAGTAGAAAGAAAGTATAATCACTTATTAACAATAACTAGTGTGTTGTCTCAATATTTTTTTTACCTTCTAACTTATGTAATTATGTAGTTCAACATGTTGCATTTCACATCAACCGATACCCACCCCTTCTTTTCAATGACAACTCCATATGAAAATTTGACAAGTCATACACCTCGATTCAGCCATCCTAAAGTCTTTGGTTGCTTGTATTATGCAACAAATCGTTAACCTCACAAATCTAAACTCTACGCTAGGGCTACTGTCTTTCTTATGCCCACATGAAACCAAAGGTCAAAAATTATACAACCTTAACACTTATGATACTTTCATTTCAAGGGGTGCAGTCTTTCACGAAAGTATGTTTCCTTTCCAACAACCTTCACAATCCTCCGGAATTGAAAATAAACTACCGCAGTAACCTACTTCATTGCCTTATTTGGATATGAACTCTCAATTAGTCTTACCATCTCACATAACATTTCAATTTCAACCAAAAACTCTAGTGGCACTACAAGAAACTGCACTTTCTGCGACGAATTCTACAACGACGCTAGAAAATTTGTCGCAGAAAGTGTACAATTTGCAACGAATTTCACTTTTTCGTTGCAAATGGTGTGAAATCTTTTTGCGACGGTAGTCTTTCGTCGCAGAATGTATGTACACTTTCTGCGACGGTAGCACGTCGTCGCAGAATGGTCGGGAGTTTTCTG